TTTAACAGAAGACTTAAATATGCCAACAAATGAACCCCTGTGATTGGTGGACAGCCTGCCTTCCAGGATAGTACCTATTAAATTATCACCTGTACACATACTTGAAATCAATTTGTACAGATTGTTTACTACTGAATTCTCCAAACAAAACAAAACAAAACTATGTTATTCTAAAACTTTGCATTTTATTCTGATGAAGCGTAGGCACAAAATATGTAGCACATGAATTAGCAAATTGTAAACATGTAAAAACATTTGCATGGAATGATAGCACTCGGAAGGTTTTTCTCTCATTTCTCACCTCAGGGAAGGCCCTTTAAACCTGTTTGAACTTAGGACCCCTTAAAAATGTTAAGAAAATTGTGACTCCTTTCTCCATGAGGACTCCACTACACATGCTAATTTTACATAGAAATCACAGAGACCTCATGAGCCTGCCATGGGCTTCGTGTCTTAGAGCTGGTAAACTAGCAATGACCACCGTAAAAGCTTCCTAGGAGCCTCGTGTGCTCTCTTCAAGGCATGTGCCATGAGAGACCTAGCTCTTCCAACATGGTCCTTGCTCAGGCTCTATACCCCACAATGTAATGAGTACACAGAATAAACGATAGGCAGGAAGAGGTAGGACAGTTCGGGGCTTCCACTGCTCCTGCTGATTGATGTGTTTCTAATTTGCCAAGAGAGACTTGATATTCAGTCCTTCAATGAACTGAGAAAAGTACCCTGAAGCCAGAAATAAAAAATATTTTTTGCTATTCCTGTTTGACAAATGGCTCCCTTATAATTTGTGAATACAAGAGGAAGCAAGCGAGCAAGCAAACAAACAAAAAACCCAACCTTGTTAAAGGGCCTTTTAAAATTAGCCTTTACACATGAAAACAGTCCCAAGTCTCGAGAACATGAGTGAGAAATTGTGGATCAGAACATTTAAACTCCATGTAGCAGTACTGGCCAGAAATAAATCAAAACAACCAACCAACTTAGAGTCTCCATCTTGGAAGACTAAAATGGAAATCTCATTTCCTCAGATATGGGCCTCACTTTGTATTACTGGGGACAATGGAAACAGGAGACAGAAGTCCTGGTTTATTTTGAGAATGCTGTAAAACAGTTGTTCCCCATTATATGATTGTGTTATGAAGAACTGGGGAAGTCCTGGGTCTCCATCTGTGCTCTGACCTCCTGATCCACTGTTGCATACCCCTAACCCCCAGGGACTACAGTCTTCCTGGCTGTTGTATATATACACATACATATGTATATATATGTTCTTATTCCAGCCTGACCCCCTCTTACCCCTCAAATAACCAGCGTGAGCAGAATGGAGCAGATGGCTCAGGCCTTCTTTGGTCACTTACAGATCTGTATCGCTCACTCGGTGTTTTTGGAATCAGGGGGACTGAAAATTAAGTCCTGAGATGTTTTGGGGGGAAGACTTACTATCTTTCCAGGGCGACAGGTGTTGAAATAGTAGTACTATGTGTAAGATTCAAATGGAATCAGTATGTCAAGACGCAGGCAGACGGACTCTTCAGGACCATAGCTTTCAGCTCTCTTGTAATTGTTGTTGGTTTGCTATATAGTAGACAGTCTATTCTAAGCACATCAAGTTTGAACTGAAGAATAGAATTATCAGTATACCTAGTACGAATTAGGTGAGGGCTGGCTGAGAGACATGACCAGCTTTTTTCCAATAGCTGAGGTTTCCTTGTTGCACAGAATTTTTGTGGAAGTTTGTGATTTTGTCATGAAAGCAGTGTAAACATTGGCATTCCAAGTTCCCATGTATATAAAATATTGAACTGGAATCTCTAAAGACTTTCCAAAGAAATTGAGTGTTCACAGTGGTGCAGCTTATTAGCTCAAGGGTGAATTCTGCTTTTTGTGTTAGGCTGGGTGTGCTTGACACAATGTACAAATCAACAGGATAAAGTTTTGGAACAGGCTGTTCTTAAAGTGCATAAGCTGAGCACAAGGTGTTTGAGAGACTTCTGTCTTGAGAGGGCTTTTTCTGTCCAGGGAACTTGAAGTTGAAGGAAACCTGCTGCACTCTTAAGTAAACCATAGCCTTGTATGCTGTGATTGCACCCAGTCTGAGAAGGCACAGGGAAAATGGCGTGGATGAAGTCCAGGACTGTTGGTATTTGGAATCTAGGGAAGAAGTGACTAGAGAATGGGACTGACAAACTATACTGTCAAGGGACAACTTTAAAAGCAGAGAAATACTGTTTTCTGTTGTATACATGGTGTGTTGATACGGTCCCTCATTCATCTGCAGATAAACTAAGAGTGCAGCTGTTCTTTTTGTCACTTCTTGTCTTCTTTCTATGCCTGTCTGCTCCATGCTGGTTCCTTCCACAATGCATAATTGGTGGCATACACATAGGTAGACGCCACACACCACTGCTCTGTCATGTGCATAGTTCAATGGTTAGGAGCTATTAGCTGCACCATGACACACAGTTCTTGTTCCATATATACTGTATACTTTGGGGTTTGTTTCAGTACAATCAGAAATGGAAAGATTATAAGTCATTTTGTTTGGTTGATTGTCCCCAATAGCCCGTTTACATATATTATATGATTATGTAAACCAAGAAGCTGGAATTCAGGGTAGAGCAGGAGTATGAACTGGGGAACCTCATCCCCTCCCTCTGTGTTAATAAAATAGTTGAACTAAATCCCTGTGTTTCAGCAAAACACCTGAGGGTTAATCAGTAGCATAGTCACGTGAGAGAAAAGCCCACACTTCCCGTCATCTCTCCACAGGCAATCTTAAGAGTCTGCCTGTGTCACTGCTATGTTAGCCACTAGCTGCCTGTGGCTGTTTAAGTCTAACTTAAGATAATTGCAATTTGCCAGTAGCATGCTTATAGTCTGGGGTAGCCATTGTTTCTATCACATTCCCATCACAGAAAGTTCTGTTGGGCATACTGTCCATCTCTTAAAGCCAGAGTTGAGGGGAATAAATTTCCTTAGATTAATTGAAAAAAGTCTGTGTGCCTGGAATTGGCAAGTGGGTGATGGGACTGCAGAACCTTTCCCACTGGCTCATCCAAAGTGATGAGTGCTCAGTGCTATTTCAGCTATGAAGGCAGTGAGGAAAGGAAGCATTTCACATTTTATAATCCATGTATGTTTTAGTCTTAAAAACAAAAACAAAAACCGACCGGGAAAGAACATCAAGCAATTTCAACTGAATGAATGTGTCTTGTAGCTGGCCCAGTACTACGGCCAGATCTGTGCTGCGTGAGAGTGGGAAAGATCGTGAGGCCTGGGCAGCACAAGCTTTCCACAGAGTGGACTTTCTAAAAAATGAGACTCTGTCTCTAACAATCAAAAATAAAGTCACACTTCCTGATGGAAGGCTAAGGCTGTCTGTGTCTCTGGAATCAAAGCCATCATAAAGCCTTGCTGTCAAGGTACTGGCTGAGGACACCATTATGTTCCTGCCTCAGACTAGTGCCAAGCCTTTAGGCCTAAGCACAGAAGTCAGCTTGACAGGCTTCAAGCCAACAGAACAGGGCAACAAGAAGCATCTCCCCCACACAGTGACCTCTGCCCCGACACTAAAGCTGTGGAGCAGGAAATGAGAAACACAAGGTTCTTGTAATAATACGTGCACGTTCTCTGTGTTGCTATAGTTAAAGGTGGTTCAGCCAGTGCTCACGTGTCACTGAGGCTTCTGAGCTGAAGGTGCCTTAGCGAAGTAAAAATTAATGTTTAACAATAGATGGAACTCTAAAGACTTAGAGCAATAGCTGAAAGGCTACAGGCAAGCTGAGCTTTAAAGACTTGCCCTAAAGGCTGGCCTGTGCATCTAGCATGAGCCTATCACAGGCTGGGCATCCCTTATCTGCAGTGCTTGGGAGAGAAGTGTTTCAGCTCTCAATATGGCTCTTCAAATATTTACATATAACAGAGTGAGATATCCTGTGGGTAGGACTTGAGCCTAAGCGTGGAATTCAGTCACGTTTCAGTTTCATACCCGTTTTATACCAGAGTGTGAGGTTTCAAGGTGTTGGTGTTTTGACTCTGACTTGTCATATTCAGTCAGGTATGAAAATTTCCACCAGTGCTATCAGGTCAACATTCAGACATTTTCAGTGGTTGGAGCACTGTGGTTTTTCAGATTTGGGATCTTCAACGTGTACTCTAATCTTCTTTAAAAAGTATTGACACATGGAGAGTTAGCAATCTCCCAAGATGAGCTATGGTCTACTGCATTGTTCATGATGCTCTTAGGCACACCAGGCCATTTATCTCATGGCCAGGAAAAAAAAGTCCAGGGGTTCTGTGACAGTGACAGAGATGTAAGGGTGATAAGGACTGGGACTGGCCACAAGATGAGCTGGAAGAGGCATCATTTCCTAGGCTAAGCTAAGACACAGGTAGCTGAGGGATGTGGAGTGATTTTCTAGAGAGATGGCCCCAGCTCTTGGAGTCATCAGTCTCGTTTCCACAGGAATGTTTCCCCTCTTCACCACAACCAGATTCTCTTTCCACACACTCTGTTTGTGTCAGGCCTTGTGCATAGTGATCTAACAAACAAATTCGCCGAGATGTATACAAATGATTTCTTCTCCTCTGAGAGTTTAAACAGGTGTTGTAAGCAACTTCTCTTATGCCAGCAGTGCATGGAGAGGAAAAGCTGGTGGTTTGAATAAGGGGTGGTCACTGAGAGCCAATAGCTCACTGCAGCACCTACAGGGAGGCTTGCTTTTGTCCCCTTGAAGCCGTCAACTGAGTCTCACACTGACCTGAGAGCACAAAGCTGATGACCTGGACACTATGAAACTAGCAGTCGTCATTAGGAGGGAGTGTCTCATCAGCTGCTGCAGGAAGCAAGGAGGGAGAATGGGGAGCTGAGCCCATTTGAGTCTTTTAAAGGAACATACTGATTGTGGGTCAGTGGCTCCAATGTAGTGGGGGTGGGGTGCTGGTGGTGACACGGTTTTCCAATAGCTGATGTGAGAAAACTGTTCCTCCTCTCTCCACAGAAGGCCATCCAGACGCCCTACTACTGGATCCCTTTCCTGCCCTGGATCTCTTCCTACACTACCCTTTTCTGGAGTCCAGCTGTAGTGATTTCCCACCTTCTTTCTGTCTGTGCTTAAATGGCACAGCATTTGGTCAGCACATCTGAAAAAGAAAGTGTGAAAAGCAAAGGCCATGGCTCCGTTCCGCTGTCAATCATGTGGCAAGTCTTTCCTCACCCTGGAGAAGTTCACCATCCACAATTATTCGCACTCCAGGGATCGGCCATTCAAGTGCTCGAAGGCTGAATGTGGCAAAGCCTTCGTCTCTAAATATAAATTGATGAGGTGAGAGGCTTTAGGAAGGTGTGCATTTTTACTTGGACCTTTAAGTGTCTCTTCAAGCCTTCAGGACTCTCACTGAAGGGAAAAAGGCAGGGTATGGGTACATTTTAGCCTTTTAGGGCCTCTTTAAAGCCATACCTCCACTATCTAGTAATCCCCTGATTATAGTGACACCTGAATAAGTGGGGTTTCACTTGTGTATCCAGACCTTGTGCATGTACATTTTCTCAGGCTTTCAGAGAGTCCACGATATACCAAGGCAGCAATTTTCAGATGAGTCCTTTAAGAGAGAGTTGGCATATAATGTGAATTATTTTTCTAGTGTCAATTAGGTACTGTCTACTATGAGGTAAGTGGCACCGAAGATGTATATTCTGACTACAGTGGATTTTAATAATGCCCCAGCAATGACAAACTACAGTCAGACTGTAGTCTGATTGACAGTGAGCGCTGTCAGTATACTTCTCTTGATGTTGCTTGCGTCTAACCTTCACAAAATGTTCATTCAATCTTCAGCTTGCTGATGACTCGCATATAAATGCAGAGGTGAGAGAATTAGCAGCCTGGTTTCCAATCTGAGTGAGTGGTCTTAGTACTACATTAGCTTCCCATCTTGTAGTACTTTGAAGGAAGGCACTTAAATGAGGTAACAGGAAGATATAAATTACATTCCTGACCTTAAGAACATCACTATTACTGATAGTGTAATATAAGTTGATGTTTAAAATAAGACTGAAAAGGCTTCTGTATTTTAAAATTCAAATGTCTTCTGTTGTAGGCCATTCTCTAGTTGTCATAGTAACGCTATCAAGTGCCCACCATGTGCACTGATTATGTCAGGGGCTTCCTGGTTAGTATCAAACTCCTTTTCTGTGCTTCTAGGCTCCCTTACTTAAACCAGAATGCTGGCTTCTGTGGGGTCATCTCAGGGTACTATGGGAGACCTGGGGAGGGGAAAAGACAGTGGACAAACAGGTTATTATAGTGAATAGAATTAATTAGAAATACAATGGGAAGTTGAATTGCTGCTTTAAGCACTGTTGAAGATGGGTGGTTCTGGAGAAATGACTTGTTCCATGAAGAAAGTAGGCCAAAGCAGGAAGGCCATGCTCTTCTAAGGAACTGGAGAGAAGTGAGATGGTAGGATGCTGAGATTTGTCTTAAAGGTGATAGGACAGCCATGAGCCCTAACAAGTTGTGTTTTAGAGGAAGTACTAGCCCAGAACCTGCACTATTAATTACTAAAAGAGCTTTCCCAAGTTTAAGGATGGCAGACTTTTGAAAAATCAGAAATTGGTTAGACACTTTCTCTGAGATTAAGCATACTTTTTTTTTTTTAAGGCTCCCAGGAGTCACTGACGTTCTAACCTCAATCAAGAGAGAAAGCAAGAGCTGTGTTAGGTACACCAACTAAATGTGGCAGTGATGAGTTCTCTGCACATCGGGCCAAACTGGGAAATTCAGAAATTTCTAGAGTATCATACACCCATTTAAACCCTTCCTGAAAAATATATTTCCTAATTACATTTTAAGATTTGTATGTAGCAGGAAAATGCAATATGTCAATATTCCTTATGGGTATAAAGTTGAATTTGGCTTTTAGTAATTCTTGGCATTTTAAATAATAAAATGTATGCATTAGGAAAATACAGAAAAGCAGTCTATAAGTGAAAATGTCACTAAGACCTAGAGAAAATAATGAGTAACATCTTGACAGTGTTGTCTCTGTAGCTCTTCTTCCTTCATAAAATAATTCTATTGCAAACTGTCCCCCCTCCCCTTTCTACTTCCAGACACATGGCCACACACTCCCCTCAGAAGACCCACCAGTGTGCTCACTGTCAGAAGACATTCAACCGGAAGGATCACCTGAAGAACCACCTTCAGACCCACGATCCCAACAAGATCTGCTTCGTTTGTGAAGATTGTGGCAAGAAGTACCACACCATGATGGGCTACAAGAGGCACGTGGCTCTGCATTCGGCCAGCAGTGGAGATCTCACCTGTGGGGTCTGCACCCTGGAGCTGGGGAGCACCGACGTCCTGCTGGATCATCTCAAGTCTCATGCGGAAGAAAAGGCCCACAATGCGGCCACCAGGGAGAAGAAACACCAGTGCGACCATTGTGAGAGATGCTTCTACACCCGGAAGGATGTGCGTCGCCACCTGGTGGTCCACACAGGATGCAAGGACTTCCTGTGTCAGTTTTGCGCCCAGAGATTTGGGCGCAAAGACCACCTTACTCGCCATACCAAGAAGACACACTCACAGGAGCTGATGCAAGAGAATATGCAGGCAGGAGAATACCTGAGCACCATTAACACCATTGCGCCCTCATTCCAGCTGAAGGCTGCACCTATGCCACCTTTCCAGTTAGCAGTGTCCCCCCAGAACGGGCTTGCAGGTAGCTTGGCACCTGAGGTTCATGGTCTAGTGCTTGCTCCCCCAGAACAGGCTCCGCAGCCTGTGCCACCAATGCCAGAGCCACTTGTTACTCTGCACCCTGGGGTAGTTCCCACCTCTCCTCCTCCCACCCTTCAGGATCATCAGTATAGTCCTGCTTCTACCTCATATGCCCCACTTGCAGGCCTGCCAATTAAAGCAGATGGCAAAGGCTTTTGCAACATGAGTTTCTTTGAGGAATTGCCTCTGCAAGAGCCTCTGTCGCCTCTCAAGCTTAACCCTTGTTTTGAGATGGCTAAGGAGGGGATTGGGAAAGTCACCCTGCCCAAAGAGCTGCTGTTAGATGCTGTGAACATAGCGTTTCCTGCATCTCTGGAGATTTCCTCCCTGTTGAGTTTTTGGCAGCTCTCCTCAACAACCTCCCAGAATGGTTTTGTGAATAATACCATCCCTGTGGGGCTGGGAGAACCACTGCCCCATGGCATAACTTGTCTGGCGGAGCAGCAGCAGCCACCACCACTGCTGCCACCACCACCACTGCCACCGCTGTCCCAGCCGCAGCCCCAGTTTCAGCTGCAGCTGCAGCCACAGCCCCAGCCTCAGTTGCAGCTGCAGCTGCAGCCCCAACCCCAGTTTCAGCTGCAGCTGCAGCCCCAGCCCCAGCTGCAGCCACCAATACAGCTACAGCCACCATTACAGCTGCAGCCACCAATACAGCTGCAGCCCCAGCCTCAGCTGCAGCCCCAGCCTCTGCTGCAGCCTCAGCTGCAGCCCCAGCCTCTGCTGCAGCCTCAGCTGCAACCCCAGCCTCAGTTGCAGCTGCAGCCCCAGCCTCTGCTGCAGCCTCAGCTGCAGCCCCAGCTGCAACCGCAGCCTCAGCTGCAGCCCCAGCTGCAACCGCAGCCCCAGCCTCAGCTGCAGCTGCAGCCCCAGCCCCAGCTGCAGCTCCAGCCTCAGCTGCAGCTCCAGCCTCAGCTGCAGCTCCAGCCTCAGCTGCAGCCCCAGCTGCAGCCCCAGCCGCCGCTGCCGCTGCCACCACCACTGCCGCCGCAGCCACAGCCGCTGCCACAGCCACAGCCACAGCAACAAGACGCCCAAATAGCAGTGGCCACTATGAGTCTGGGCCAGCTCCCACTACCCCCGCTGCCCCATGTTTTCACAGCTGGCAACAACACTGCTATCCTGCCCCATTTTCATCATGCATTCAGATAAACTGGTCCTTACGAGGGTGTTTTTCTTGTGGAAGATGTTTTAAACACCAGTTACAGTTTGAAACATCAGTTACAGTTTGAGGGGGGAGCTTTGGAAAACAGGATTGGGGCTTTAGCTTATTTGCCGTGACTAGCTTGAGAAAAAGAATTCTCTAACTGCATGCATTGTGCCAATATAATTAGTATTCACGCTTTGTACCAAATTTAGTGAGCGTGTGTGTATTCTGCAATCGAACTGCATGTATTATCGTATTATCTCCATATTATTATCCCTATATTATTATCCTCATATTATTATCCTCATATTATTATCATATAATCAAAACCAAGATCCAAAACGTCAGCTGCTATTTTGTAAATAGTTTATTGTGTTGACTTTAATTGTAAGCAATTGTGATGATGTTAACTAAGTACCTTTGTGTGTGTTACTGCCTAGAAAGGACATGATGGAAAAGTTTGGATTTCTCCAATTTGGAAAGCGTTTTTAAAAGAAGAGGGTAATCTTTGTGTGGCATTTATAACTAGGCTGTGTGTGTGTCTTTTCAGGGACTTGTCTATCTTCAGGGGACTTGTCTACCTTTAGGGTTGGATATAGTTTAGTTAGTCTTCTTGTAGTCTACTTTGTAGCTCGATAGAAAAAATTTGCTTGTGAAGCTATTGATTTCTTCATTTTTAAAGTGAATTGTAAGTGTAGTTTTCAATATTTTCATGTGATGTGTTGCAATGTGAGTGATGACTTCATTTATCTTAAAGACAAAACTGGTTGTCAATTATATCTGACAGAAAAAAAAAATCTCTGTGTAACCAAGTTAAGTAGCAAAATAATTGAGACATCAGTCAAAGAGTCTTGCTGACTCTAATACTCATTATGTTTTTAACAGGAATTTAAGAAACTGTACTGGAATTTTAAAAAAATACGTATATTAGATAAGACTTTTCTTTGCTTAGCTTAAACTGCTGCTTAAGCTGCTGAAGTTCTGAAGTACTGTTTGTAATCACCGATAAAAAGAAAAATGTAGCTGTAGTTTGATCAGTTTAAATCATTGTTAGTTTGTATCCCAAGAGGATTGCATTTTGCAATGTAACTGTGTTTGTAATCTCTCATTTGATATCTTGTTAATCGATTTTAGAAGTGTAAACCCCAATCTTTGAAGACTCTGTATTTCGTTTTTTGAGACTGTCTTTCTCAACATATATACCCTACATATAATAAAGGCTAAGCATCCAGCATCCCGACTTGAGTTTTTTCATTTAGCGACCCCGGCATCAGCATGTGCAACACTCCCACTGAGAGACAAAACCTCCCCAGCTCCCTCACGCCCCCTCCTGGTCATTACTTCTTCTGAAAGTATTTTTCAGCAGCCATTAGAACTTTTGAGTAAATTATGATTAAGAAAAACATATACGCTTTCGTCACATTCTCAGCACTGAGTCTTATGATATCATATGACTTATTTCTGATGCATAGGTCTAGCCACCAGAGGTTGGTGTTTCCTGTACTACCAGGATTCAGTTTCACACGTGTTTACACCTGTTAGAAAACATTATACCCCCTGGATATATGACAAGGTTTTGTTTTGGTGTGTGTGTGTGTGTGCGTGTGTGTGTGTGCGTGTGTGTGTGTGTGTTTGTGTTTGTGGGGGTGGTGAGAGAATGAGAAGCCTTGAGTTCATTTGTATATTGAAGAAATGTTGTCAGGTGGGGCTGAGCTAAAGCCTGTGACAGCAAGGTGGAAGCTTACACGAAGGGATCAACCGTGAGACCAGGGTTTGTAAGCCAGAGTTGACCCAGAGTGGACAATGAGGCAGTGAGATAACCTCATGGGATTGAAGTCACTATTTCTGGGATATCTTAGTTCCCACAGTCCCCCCTTCCTCTGGGTGGAAAGGCAGTCTCCCCAAACAATAGCCAACCTCAGCCAAGGTCTGCTTACAGACACTTTCACAAATACCTTTACATAGTCCACTGTGGTCTTTGGTCTGTTGCAGAAAATACTTGATTTTCCTGTAAGTGAAACAATGGCATTTGGTCCCTAAGGTCTAGATCATTTGCATTTCAGTGTACTGCAGGGCAGTGGGAGTAGTCCCTTTTGCTGAAATGTTGACCAAGAACGTGGCTTAACTTTCCCAACTAAAGACCCTGACTAAGAAACTGCTCTTGAACTAAAAAGTATGAACTTAATGTTCTACAAAGGGAAGTTTCCTGACCCTTAAGACTCCAAAGAGAAGGAAGAGTTGACTCACCTCCCAACACAACTGTGTAAACAAAGTGATGATAAAAACGAATAGGAGGCTTCAGGTTTGGCTGTGATAGGTGAATGTGGTACAAAGCCCTTAGAGCAGTTGCTCTCAACCATTGGAAAACATAGGTATTTACATTATGATCCATAACAGCAAAATTACATTGTGAGGTAGCAACAAAAATAATTGTCTGGTTGGGAGTCATGGCAACACGAGGAATTATGTTAATGGGTCACAGCATTAGGAAGGTTGAAAACCACTGTCTTAAAGCCTTCTTTCACACAGAAAGTTTTTTCAACCTTCCTCCTGTACTTCAAGAAATAAAGTCTGGGGCTCAAAATGATGGCATACATCTTCAGTCCCAGCGCTTGGGAGGCAGATGCAGCCAGAGCTCTACAACTTTGATTCCAGCCTACATATACAATGTGTTTGTGTGTGTGCGCATGCGCATGCATACAAGGGGGCATATAGACTGTTTGGAGGACTGACCTATCGTAGACAACTCTATTAGGTGTATACAGGAACATGTAAGAATGGAGGGCTGGAGGTATAAGCCGGAAATTAAGAGAGCTTGCTGCTCTTAGAGCAGACCTGGGTTTGGTTCCCAGCACCCACATGATTACAAATGTCTGTAACTCCAGTTCCAGGAGATCTGACATTCTCTTCTGACTTCTGCAGGACATGAGACATGCATGTTGTACATATATATGCTGCATACAATTTAAACAAACACATTAAAGAAACTAAAAAAATCATAGCATTAAAAAATAAAGTAGGAATTATTAGGAATCATAGTTTAATAGATACAAATATAAAAAAAATGGGATGTCATGGTTTTTACATAGAATGAAGTGGGTTAAAACCCGATGTTTCTAGCAGATAACTGTAGCTATCTAATGGCTAGCTCATAAAAATATATAAATATCAAAAACATTGTCATTCTTAAATGCCTTAAGGACACTTCAAGCATCTTTGAATCTTTGAATCTTTAAAGCAGACATTATGATTTAGGCTGATAAATTTAATGACTTTTAAAAAGTGTCAAAGGAGTAAATAAAGTTGAAAGCTAACATCACTTGTTCTGAAAGATGCCAGATAAGGACAGACATTTCTGGCCTTCTGTGGTGGTGTTTCTGGGTGACCAAACATCTAGTCTTCAGAAGCCAGGCTTCTGGAAGCCAGTCTGAGGACAGAAAGAGAAAAGGCAGGAGCATTACCACAGGCTGCACATGGAAAATTCTAGATAACCTGTGCCTTCAGATTTCCAAGTCATGGGAAGCATGTTTATCTGTGCCAGCCTTTCTACCATGAGATACCTTGTCTCTCAACCTAAATTACAATGTATTCATGCACAGCAGCAGGACAGAGATGTAGGAGTCTATGGATGTGAGCGCAAGGTACTTTTTAGGGAAAGTGTATTTGTAAAAAATGGAAAAGTCAATAGCTTCCAGGTAAAAAAGAAGTATTCTCTTTCCTTGTACAATCAAGACATAAACAGGACTGTAGAAATAGCTTGGTATAGTGCTTGCTTTGCAAGTATAGGATATGATTTTAATTTTCAGAACCCATGCTTAAAAAAAAAAAAAGCTGCCGGGCACAGTTGCACACGCCTGTAATCCCAGCACTCTGGGAGGTAGAGGCAGGCTGATCACTGTGAGTTCAGGACGCCAAGGCTACACAGAGAAACCCTGTCTAAAAAAAAAAAAAAAAAAGCCAGGAATGGTGAAGTGTGTTTGTTTATAATTTCAGGGAGAGAGAGAGAGGCAGAAATAGGCCTAGTTAATTGTTGCATTACAGGCAACAAGCAAGAGAGAGAGAGGCACCTGGTACCTGAAGAATGAAACCTGGAGCTGCCCTTTGGCTTCTGCATGCGTAGGCACACTACCTGCACACTTTAATCCACAAATAAAAAAATTCTAGGTGTCTTTTGAAACCACAAGCTCAGCAAACAGCTCCAAGGGAATACTTTGTCAGTCCCTCTCAGGACTTGCTCACTCTAGGCCCTTCTCTCAGAGGTTCACTCAGTAGGCCCTGTACATGACCAGCTGCACCTGGATACATATGGCTTTGTTCTTACCTGGCCTCAAGGAGTTAATCCTTTTTAGAAGATTTATTGAATCCTTGTCTGAGTTTTCCTCCAGAAGCAGGATCCATGGATAATCCTTTGCAAACATAAAGAGATTTGTTATGCCAAAACTGAACAATCCCAAGGGGGGAAATGAGGAACAATTGTGAAACCATCACACTGAATTCCAAACTCCTATTCTTGTTTTCTTTTTCTGGTATCTACAGATACAGACCCACCCATTCTTGAACTTGGGACAATAATAGATAGATAGATAGATAGATAGATAGATAGATAGATAGATAGATAGATAGA